TTCACCAAAACATACACACCAAGGTCCCAGTCACTAAGCATTTGTCTATGTGTCCCAATTCAACCAGTTAAAGGATTTTATTTTCATGACGTGGTATACTGCTAAATCTTTGTCTACTTTAATGTCAATTTGCAGAGCAATCATGTTAAAACAAAACAGCACCCACCAAAAGGTTTCAAATACAGCTTCTATAATTATTTTTTATATATTATTTTTTTATTTTTTTATTTTTTTTAAGATTTTATTTATTTGCGAGAGAGAGAATGAGAGACAGAGAGCATGAGAGGGAGGAGGGTCAGAGGGAGAAGCAGACTCCCCAGTGAGCAGGGAGCCCGATGTAGGACTCGATCGCGGGACTCCAGGATCATGACCTGAGCCAAAGGCAGTTGCTTAACCAACTGAGCCACCCAGGCGCCCCAGCTTCTATAATTCTTAAGAGATTTTCTTAACACAATTTAGAGTTTACACTGATAGGTTTAGAAAAACATTCACCAATAATCCGTTTTTCTAATTCAGCTCTTAGTAACCTCAACAGGATCTATCATCTTTGAAATCATTTTGAAAAAGCCCGTGAAGATGTGGCAACGAGACATGCTCTCTCTCTGCCTGTCCATGTCTGTCTCTCTCCGTGTATCTGTCCCCTCTCCCTCAAAACACACACACACACGGGGCGTCTGCGTGATTGAGAATGTGTTTACGAGACACATATCTTGATTTGCAGGGGTAACGAGGGCTTCATGTAGCTCAAGTCAACCTCACAAAGGGAAAGAAGGGAGTCTGGACTCTCCTGACTGGCCAACAGCAGGAAATGGAGGGTTTCTCTGCAAGGCTGGCCTGTTCCATTCCATTCAGTCTCTCTCTGTATGTGTCATTCACACCGCTGTCACCACATGGAAACCAAACTGATCTCTCAGCTTGCTGAAGACAGCTTTCAGAAGGATGCAACCACAGAGACATGATAAGGAAAGCAAATTAGCTGAAGAATCTATTTAGAAATCAGATTTTGTTCTGAGTTTATAAATGACTTTCAAGATTTTATGGCTCCATGGCTCCATGTTAAATGGTTACAAAATTGTTAAAGTTTAAACTATCATAATAAGCCTCCAAAACTTTATGCTGTTATTAAGTGAGTCTTACACAATACCTCACAAATGGTATGTTGACATGTGCAGCAGAAGGAAACCATTTGTGACAATGCAAAGGATGAGGAAGTTTCAGCGTTTAAGGAGGAAATGGGAAAATGGAAGCATACATTTCCCAGATTTTTTTTTTTTTTAAGATTTTATTTATTTATTTGACAGAGACAGAGAGAGCAAGAGCAGGAACACAAGCAGGGGGAGTGGGAGAAGGAGAAGCAGGCTTCCCGTTGAGCAGGAAGCCTCATGTGGGACTCTATCCCAGGACCCTGGGATCATGACTTGAGCCAAAGGCAGACGCTTAACGACTGAGCCACCCAGGCACCCCATTTCCCAGATTTTTTAAAAGCGGTCTTCTCCAATTTATTTATTTTCTCAGAGAACACCACGGAGGAGGGATTTTATTCACTGGTAATATAGCAAGTATCACTGCTTTTACAATAAAAAGCTAATTTCTTAAAAACTTATCACTTCTCAAAACTAGAAAAGCTTACCTAACAAGTATGTGACACTCAGCTACATCCAAGTTAGCGTCTCAGGGGTGGGTGTGGGGGGGGTGGGGGGAGTCTGAGAAATAGAGACAAAGAGAAAGACAGGGGGCGGGGGGATGACTGTTGTCACACTTTCTTGTTTCTCTCCCCTTTGCCTGCCTCTCAGGCTTATCTGTGCTCTAAAGATGCTGATCACCGGTTTAGAAATTTCCGGGCATAATGAAGGTAGCAGAAGTCTTCAAAGATTTTCATCACTGCCACAAACCTGTCAGCCAGGAAGTATGATATAAAACAATGAATTCTATTCAACAAAAGGTCGGAAAATGGTTTGATGAGTAGTAAAAAAGTACCTCGAACAGTGTTTAGCACATGGTAGACAATGAAAAAGAAGAAATGTTAATGTTTTCCTTCCTTTTTCGTGAATTTAAAAACGAGGTAACTGACCTCCAAAGATGAGGCGTCTTGCCCAATGTCCTAGGGAAACCAGTGACAGGGCTCTCTCCACACAGAACCAGGGCTCTTTCCCTAATCCACTGCTCCCCATTTGATGACATGTGATAACATTTTTAAACATGCCCCAAATTTTAATATTTTCATTTAGATTTACCCGAAGATTTTGCTTAAATGGTGGTTGATGTAAGCCTAAATTCCTTCTGAAGCCTGGGCACTTTTTTTTTTTAATCTACCAGTTCTGTAATACAACTGCATCATGAACAGAAAATGAGGTTTAGAAATGACTCCCACCAAAGCATTAAGGCAGCACTGACAGGCAGGCAATGGGAGACTGTTCCAAGCCTCACAGGAGCACATGAATACCACCAGCAGAGTCATTAACACCAGCTGAGGTTCAAAGAGAACGTGTCACAAGGTGCCAGAACTAGAAACCAGCTTGTTCGTATGGATGAAATGTCATGTAACAATAATTTCCTCAGAGCACAGAGTGGGCCTCTAAATAGCTCACAATCGAGTCTTATTGCTCTCCACCGGCTGGTTCTACGATCAGTCCTCTTCAGCAAGGAATTAGCAATTACCAGGAAAAGCAAGAAAATAAGCACTAGAGGCATTTTCTCCCCCCCAGTTTTATAAAAACAGTCATATCTAAAGTTTTAAAGTTAAGATTATGAAAAGTACTTTTTACTACGGAGTGTTTTACTCCTCCGTGACAACTTTATCTTTCAACGTTTTATTGGGCCCATGTTCACTCTCTTGAAATCTTACTCAAGACTATAAGTGTCTAAATTCATAGAAAAGGTCTGGAAGGATAAAGACCAAACCTAAATGCAGTGGTATCTGTGAGGGGGAAGCTGATGACCAGGGCTTGGGGGTGGAGGGGATTCATTATCATGTACTACTCTTCTACACCTTTAATGGCCCTTGAGAAGCATGTTTTAGATGTACCATAGACCTAAGATTTCTAAAGAAAACTAATATTGGCTCCAATTTTAAGTGCTCTCTGTTGATTTTACACAAAGCCCTAGAAAATAAACAGACATCTTCTTTGGATGGTAATACTGACTAATTAGGAAGCCCTGAATCTTTCATCCTGCCTCCCATGTGTCACTTTTTACATGTAGGGTATATTACTCAAACATATACAAGTCCTCAAATATCAACCAACTTACAGGAATAATATCTTCAGGAGCTTGTACAGGAAAAGTGAAACAGCCATTCTGAGTTCACTTCCTTTCCTGAACCAGATCCCCCTCGTTCACGGCACTATCACTGTATGGACCACAATCAAGTACTGTGTCGAGCTGCTCAAAGAAGGCTTTCTCAAAGCGTGGCAGTCAACTCACTCGCTCAAAGCCAAAAATGGAATAGGAGAAATCCGTGTATTTTAAGACACGGTTAGGGTGTGTGCCTGATAGCATGGTCTATTTTTAGGTTACATTGAGAAACTTCCTTTTTGAGTGCATGTAGGAGGAAAAAAACAGTAATAGAAGGGTAACTGCATGAATTATTTCATTCTTACGGCAGCTCTGTCTAAAACGAGGTAGGTGTACCTTCGAAAGAGCCTGCAGTTTGAACTCTATCTCCAGAGGTTTACCTCTGCATTCACATACATAACTAAAAGGGTTCCTGGAAGACTTCGCAGCTTATTTTCAATAAATAAACCTTAAGTCTCTACTGAGTCTCAAATAAGTGCACTAGCAGTAAGTAAAGAAGAAAGTTTAAGGAACTGACAGAACCAGGGAATGCCAGCCGAGAACTGGGAACGGAATGACAGCTCCCAGATAACTCTCACTTGGTGATGCCGGCAGGGATAACACACATGAATTCCGCCACCCATCATGTGACAGCCCATCCAATTTTTCCTCGACCCTGTTTGTGACTGACATGCTTAAAAAAATAAGCAACAAAGGGCGCCTGGGTGGCTCAGTTGGTTAAGCGACTGCCTTCGGCTCAGGTCGTGATCCTGGAGCCCCGGGATCGAGTCCCGCATCGGGCTCCCTGCTCAGCAGGGAGTCTGCTTCTCCCTCTGACCCTCCCCCCTCTCATGCGCTCTCTCTATCTCATTCTAATAAATAAATAAAATCTTTAAAAAAAAAAATAAGCAACAAATCATGTTGTCGCCTTTGTGTCAAGAGGCATACATTTCCACTGCCTAATCCTAGATTTTGTTAGTATAACTGTTCTTAACCCTTGATTAATTCTCTTCTTTTTCCCTAAGTATGAATGTTCTTCACCTCAAACCTGTTTGCTAAGGAAAAACAGAAGCTCCTGAGTCAAAAGAGCTTACTATTTATCAGGGCTCTTCTCAGCCCTCTCCACTTTGTTCTATGGAAAGTTAGAAACACTCTTCAACTAGCAAGAACAATCACAGGGCCACGGATAATCCCTCTTATTTTACAATTATATTTAACCAAATATGGTTAAAATCGTATTACAGGAAATTCCTATTATTCCCTGAAAAGTAGAATAAATGAAATAGACCACAGCAGTATTCATCCTCCTAAAATCCCACTCTTGTTTTTAAGGATCCAGACTACATACACCGCGTGTTCAGTACATTTTAAACCAAGAAGTTGTCTGCTTAGAAAGTAAAGTAAAGCTCCACGTTTACACTGGAAAGTCAAAAATGTCCCTGTATCCACACTAAAATTTAGCTCCTGGTGCTGCTCTTGAAATTAAAGGTAAACATACAGTAAGTTTTTAAAAATACTGAGTGGCCAGTAAATGCAATTTACTGACACTGTGAGTTATCCATAATACTTATACAAGTTAAATTTGTCCACAAATCAGCTGAAATTTAATAAATATATTTATTTCCTTTAGAGAACATATGCATGCAAAGTGAGGAATGGGGAGAGATTCAAACTGAAAACAGTATATACTCAACTTAAGTTGATTTCAAACTGCAACAAAGTCTTACCTCTTCAGATCCACAGTTGTGACACTAAATACAACTCCTTTGAGCCAAAGAATCATGAAGAGCCTCTGGGAAAAGGGGCAGTTTCCTATGCTTTCACCATCACTGCCAGCCTGGGAAAGAGAAATCAACATTGAAGAACAGGGTCAAAGTGGTGATACTCAAAACGATAGACCAATTTCTGATTTATAATCAACAGCTCAAGAAAACAGGAAGTTGCACTGTAGAAGGAAGGTGGAAACTCAGTCTCTTACTTTGCTTTCATCTGCCCCCCTCTCTTCTTAAAAATGGCCAGTCTACTACAGCACTGTCCTATAGAACTTTCTGCAATGGTAGAAATGATCTGTACTACCACTGTCCAAATACAGTAATTTGTGACATATGGCTAATGAGTGCTTAAAATGTGACTAATTCCACTGAATTTTTTTATTTGCTTTTAATTAATTTTATTAAATATTAAGTAATTTCTTGTTCTATGAGACAGTATTCTTTATAAGGCAACATAAAGGGGGAAACTTGCAGGTGTATCTATCTCCAAAGAGTTAAATAATCCCCAACCCCCACTCATTTAAAAAAAATATTCATTATGAAAATCCCATATCCTGTACACATTCCTTCAAGGAGCAAGAAAATAACAAGATATCTTTATAAAAGCTAACTGTAATCCTACTTAATATGAATAGAGCAGCTGACGACCACCCCGAGCTCAATGATGAGGTAGAATTTTCCAAGAAATCAGGGTGGGACAAATCTTTACTCCTCTCAGGGATGCCCCCAGTTCACAGAGGGACAGGGGAAGCAAAGAACAGGAGTGGGGACAAGAAAGCCAGCATGCTGGAAGAGAACATTCTGACACTTGCTAGGGAGCAACACAGCCTTCTTCACCACAAAGTCTGTGGAGAAAGCCAGAAATAACTTTCAACAGCTCATTCAGAGATGCATGGCTCAAGTTCTGTTTATTATCCTAAAGTAACTCTCAAAATATTCAGAAACCATTTCAGTAAGATGCTACATTAGAAAAGTTACTAATTCCTAAACTAATGGGGAAATAGGGTGAAGTAAAAAAATAAATAAAAGCAGTTACCTGATTAAACATAACACAACTAACAAAATAAGTGGGCATAAAAGGAGGATCCCAGAACCCTACCCTAATCAGACAGCATGAGAGAGTTACAACTGAAGTCGTTTTTTGCTTTTTAAATCATTCTTTATCAGAAACGAAACATACACAGAATTGTAATTTCTAGTACTGCAACTTGCACACACTTGACTTCCTAAAGAAGGCCTAGTTCTTAAACTTTAATGTGATTAAGAATAACCTAAATAAACATTTTAAATGAGGATTTCTGGGCCTATATCCAGAGATTCTGATTCAAAAGAATTCCTGGGTGGGGCCCAGGAATCCTCATTTTGTTATAGGCACCCAAGGAGATCACAAAGCAAAACATCTGCTCAACACACTGAAAGACACTGGTGTGTGGGAAGGTCAGGATGATAGTCCTTCTTCAAAGTACAAGTCAGTTCATAGTATTAAGTCATCCTACGATACAATGTAACAAACCAGTACTCAAAGTTGCTTTTTTGAAGATGCTGGCTGTCCCAACACCTATAGAACACTGATAACATGTAAGTGAGTTTACCACAGATAATAAAAAGTTAAGATATACCTTTCTATATAGCTTGATGATTAATATTTTTACACAAGGTTGTGGCCTTAGATACTAAAATTTTACTATCATTCTTGTTTTGTTTTCCCCTCCCAGTATTAACATGCTTAGCAGCAGAAATATAACAACAAGAAAACGTATACCAAATTTCAGCCTTACTGAAAAAGCAGTAAAGTTTGGTAGACAAAGAACAAGTCTGACTCACTTTGTCCCATTCCACTTGTTTAATCTATAAAATGAAACATAATTTCCCAAGATGCCTGTCATAGCAGTGTTAAAATAATTATATTGGTAAAGAATTTGTAATAAAGATGTTACATATAGGCACTTGGAAAGACATTAAACCCAAGGCAAGCTGGAGATAAACAGCAACTGGCTACAGATCAAAAATACCACACCACAATTTCCTACGACGGTCTGCAGAGCATATGCTGGAGTACAGACGGGAGAATCTTGGGACACGGACGCTGCATGAAGACCTAGTCAGGATGCAAATGCCCCCTCTCCTTTCACCTCCCTTGCCTATAATTTTCTAGCAAATTTTACCAATGTACTCTCTCAGGCATATCTGAAGCTTATTACACATCTCATACTCCTTATAAAACTATTGTTTTATGCACACCCAAATAAAAGTATGTGTAATCTTCAAGATAGATCTAAAGAACTGCTATTTTAATTAACTACTTCCAAAACTCATGACAATTCAAATAAGAAACATTGCCAAGTACAAGTTTTTCTGAACTTTTAATAGCATGAGAAGATTGGGAGCTAATAACCAGATAATGTTTTCATCAAGTGTAGTGAAACTGGAAAAATTCGGATCTCTAAAAGTTGTAAGTCAAAAACTTCCTCTTTTAATGCATGTTGTAATAATAAAGTTCCATTTCAACATTTCAATAAAATTCCACTCAAGGTAAAGGATCAAAAGCATGCTCTTCAATATGAACTATACTGAACATAACCTACTGGTACAATCCACTGAGGAGGATGTTCTGGTATAGTGGAAAGCATTACACACTGAAAATCAGGATACATTTATTCTACACCCAGTTTTTTATTATAACAAAAATTAACACACAGGTATATCTAACCATAGCATCTAAGAAAAGTATACCTTTAAAAAAAAAAAAAAGAACTTCGCTTTTTACTGCTTCTAACAGTACACTCATTATTTTAAAAGTAATTAAAAACTGAAACCCTGCAGGTCAGAGTTCCCTTACCTTTGAACCATTCGCTAGTTGCTTAATCTTCTAGATTTTTTTTAAATATTTTATTTATTTATTTGACAGAGACACAGCGAGAGAGGGAACACAAGCAGAGGGAGTGGGAGAGGGAGAGGCAGTCTTCCCACGGAGCAGGGAGCCCGATGCGGGGCTCGATCCCAGGACCCCGGGATCACGACCTGAGCCGAAGGCAGACGCACAATGACTGAGCCACCCAGGAGCCCCTAATCTTCTAGATTTTTATTTTCTGTGTACATACTACTTTTCTCTTTTAAAAATGTGATCACACGATATACAACTTTTTTATGATCTACATTATTTTATTCTCAATTTAATGCAATCAACCCTCCAGAGGCTGTAATGTGCCTGCCAGTATGGTGTCCAACAGGGCCAAGGAGAGAGCCAGGGCTTTCTACCCTGCCAGCCAGGAAAAGGAGGCCCTATTCCTCCCCGATCAGGGCGGGGGGCGGGGGTCAGAGGAGGCCCGGTATACAGTAGTCAGGACACTCACGAGCAACTAGAGCTGATGTCAGCAGAGACTACACAGGGAACTAGAACCCCCAAGCCCCGCCTAGCAGAAATGAGGAGCCACCCCAGGGGTATCCAGAGGCCACTGGAGCTACTCATTCTCTGTGTGGCTGCAACAAGGCAGTGTCGTTGCCCTTCTCCCCTCCCACCCTCCTCCAGAACAGCATCAGAGAAGTCTTATTTGAGTGTTAGAGAAGTTTAAACAAAACTTAAACAAGATCCAGAGTCTCATAACACAATATGAAAATGTCCAAGTTTCGGCCAAAACTCACTTGTCATACTGAGAGCCATATCAAACTGAATGAAAAAAGGCAACAATGTTGCCATCAGGATGACAGAGCTGTTAGAATCTACTGACAAAGATTTTAAAGCAGCCATGATAAAAGTGCTTCAATGAGCAATTATGAACAGCTTGAAACATGTGAAAATATAGAAAGCCTCAGCAAAGAAACAGAATATGTAAAGAACCAGAAGGAAATTTTATAACTAAAACATAAAACAACAACAACAAAAAAAGCTCAGAGGATGAGCTCAACAGCCAAACTGCCAAATGGAAGGAACAGAGGAAAGAATCCCTGAACTGGAAGACAGAACAGAAACGACCCACTCTGCACAGAGAAAAAGTAGACTGAAAATACCCCACTTCCTATATATTTCCATATTGAGGTCATCCATCTAACAGTTATTTTTGAAGGCTTCATTTATGCTATTCATCCAACAATTTCCTATGTATAAATTTATTCTGTAGAAACTTTGATACGGATGCCCAAAGACAAAAGAGAGAGGAACACTGAAGCACCGTTTCTAACAGCAAACCACTGACGACCACCCAGCGCCAATAAAGGATCTGTTAATTACAGACCACCGCCAGAGGGTGGAAGGCTGGGCTAACCGTGTGGCCTTTGCTGGCATGGCTAAGAGTATTGTCAGTTCTTCCCTGTGGTGTTTGAAGCAGAGCAGCCACTGCCTGAGTCTTCTGTCTTAAGCCTCGGCTGCCCCTTTCCTGGTCCTCTGGCTATAGCGAGAGCGGACTTAGAGCCTTGTCTGCACCTGTTGGTGTCTCCAGCTGCCAGCTCCTCTAGCTCTGAGTCTGGGATAGATCAGGGCAAAAAACCCAAGGAACTCATCTACTCTGCCTTCCCAGAAGCAGAAGTCTCTCAGAAGTATTAAATTTAGAAAGCAAAATTAAAAATGTAGAAAATGTGGTATATCCACACAGTGGAATAGTATTCAACAATAAAAAGCAATGAGGTATTTTGATATATGCTAGAAGTCGGATGAATTTTGAAAAATTATGCTAAATGAAAGGAGCCAGTCACCAAAAAAAAAAAAAAAAAAACACACAGAGTATATGATTCCATTTATATGAAATGTCCAAAATAGGCAAATCCATAGTGACATAAAGTAGATTAGTAGTTACCTACCTAGGGCTTTTGTGGGGCAGGAAGGAAAAAGGGCTGAGGAATGACTGCTAATGAGTACAGTGATTTTTTTCTGGAGCACTAAAAATGTTCTAAAATTGGACTGTGGTGATGGCTGTACAACTTTGTGAATGTACTAAAAACCACTGAACTGCACACTTTAAATGGATGCATTGTATGATGTATGAATCATATCTCAATAAAGCTGTTTTAAATATATAGGCACAAATTACAAGTATAAATATACACATACTAGAAAAGATTTTAACTTGGG